ACGGCTTAAGTATTCTGGACGTGTAAGGACTGGTAATAGGTCTGTACAGTGTTTGAGAATCACCGCCAATCAGCCGTGTTAAGAACGAGCAAGTCCTGGGACGAGAACCGGGAAGCATGCGAGGAGCCGCCTGCAAATGTAACATAACATGAATTGCTAAAGTTGATCAAAATAAAAAACATGCTCATCTATTTTCCTTTAACCCTTTACACCCTAACATCAGAATGCATCTTCTCCATACTGTTTTCTATACATTTCCTAAGGTGCTGATAAGGAGAATTTGATTGACTATCAAGAGCTTCTTCAAAACTTTAAATGTGACTAACTTACTGAACTGTCCGATAACAAACTGTCCGATAACAACTTGGCAAGTGAATTAGTGGAAAATAGGGGTTTTTTAAACCAATCACAATCGAGGAAATTGTAATTTTTATGATTAAAAAGCAAACATCATCTATGTGTCCGTTCTCCAATAGATCATAAGTAAGAACCATTCACAATACGAGTATAATTCAGCTCAACATAAATATATGGTCACACGAGGTTATTCTCAGGATATCAGCGAAAACAAAAAACTAAAATATGTATTGTAAGATATTTCTTACCAAAAATCTATCAAGGACATTTTCCGTCGTGCCAAAGGAAGAAGAATTAGACTTCTTTAGAATTCTCTGCAAGGGAAAAATTTCAAAGCAAATAATGAGTTCTGGTAAGTTTGTATGTCCATGATAAAGACAAGAACACCATTTTCAACGTAAATGTCACTTTAAAAAATGAAATTGTTTCACAACCTGTTTGTAAAGCTTTCTTTGCGAGTTATCTTCAGTAACTGATGGCACAATGTCGCGATTCTGCAAGTCAAAGAAAAAGAAAAAGAATACTCTGTTAACTGTAAGTCAGGCGTTCTGTTCAGTTACAACTAACAGCTGGGGAACGGGTTTTAGAGGATCTGTTATTAAAAGCTTTCAATTTTTACCTCAATCGGGACAAAACCATCATTGGTCAACTGATATCTTAAGGTTGACGTCACAGCATCTGAAACTGTCTTGTCCAGATCGAATAATTTCAAACCCTTGGATCTTTTAATCTGCGTGAGGCCAAAAAAAATAATGGTATAAAAGACATTCAAACACTAATCGAAAAAAATACTTAAACATGAGAAATATCAGAAACGCTGAAAATTATAAAGATGCACTTGTATAGTGAATTTCCATGCCAATATGCTATAACGTGGCTAACGACACTTTGCGGGAGACTTTGGCCAGACTGAATTGAGAAGTTTTAAGTTTCAGTAAAACATTTCGCAAGTGCCCCCAATTTAGGAATTTTTTAGAAATGAGGTCCAGCTACAGCATCAGGAGCTACATTCCCTACTGTCTGCGAGAAGAGTGTGAATTCTTGAACGTTCCCTGCTAACCAGTACGGAGAAGATGCAGGAAACGGTGCCCACGTTTTATAATCCTTATCTGAGAAGAATACAACGTCTAACCATATGCCTTAAAACATAATTGCATAACGTTATTCATGAGATATCTCGATACGCCTCCTGCAGCCTCTCTTTCCGGCTTTTTTAAAGTGGATACTGAAATAAACGAACCTGTCTCAATATTAATTTTCGTCTAAATCTCCTCGCCACGGGATCATGATAAACTGCTTTAGGATAAGAGTTGATCTTGAGCAACAATTCCTTTTCTCTCTCTTCTGACACGGGAACCAGACTATCAATTGTGTGAGGAAGACTTGTAAGGTTGTTTGCAACAGGTTTGCCTTTGGTCTCGCTCTGAACCGAGTCAGATTGCGAATGCTTACATGACTTCTCTGAAGTAGCAGTTGAAGACAAAGATTCCGTATCCTCCTGCCTGTCAGTTCTCTCATCAAGGAAGTCTAATTCTGGGCAAGGAAAACAAATACAGCATCTTTCAATTCGGTAATGAATGCATTGATTTTTCAACAGAACTTTGTAATTGGTGCAAAAAATCTCGCACCACACTGCATACATCAGATAAAAATTGCAATTAGCTGCTATTTGGTTGTACGCGTTTTCCCGCGCTCAAAGTTGTGATGAGCTCTTATTGGCTCTTCGTGGTGTGGAGCTTTGTTGTGATTGGCTGTGGTGATCAAGCTCGATTATTTTATCAATCTCTTTGATAATACCTACACTAATTAATACTAATGGTTGGACTACGATGAGTGGCAAAAGCAGTTGGCGCGCCTCCCTTTGGTAAGTGGTCGGCAACCCTCCATTCGACATAGTAAACAGAAATCTTTTAAGTTACTTGAAAGCCCCCCTTTCCCCCCAAACAATGTTGCAAGAAACTAGTGATCATTTTGTCAACACCATGCATCATTGAAATGGGAGAGAGTTGGAGATAAATGAGGATTCAAAACGTAGTATAGCTTGCCAAGGCTTTTGCCACTCGTTGTAATATTTTTGCCAATTGAAGTTAACTTGGGCAGAAGGATACTAAACGTTTGTTTGTTTTTTTAACACTCCAAATGTAGCTGAAGCAACTCTCAGTTGATATATTAAAATAGGAAGACATGCAAACCTGATTTTTCCTCTTCACCAGTGAAAAGTGAAGAAGTGTCGTCCATGTCTTCGTAACCAGCCGTGAACAAACTTGTGAACGCGTCCATCTCTAAAAGGCAACACAAGAAAGTTAGAACTAAATCGTTACGATGGAACAATTTTCAATTGAGTGTCGAAAGTAATCCGGTATTGCTTTGGTTTTGCTTAACCTTGCTCTGTGATTGGTCCAGAAAACTTACGTCACTCTCTCTACCAATCAGATACACAACTACATGAAACCAATCACGACTTGTTCGTCCCCGTTTTCCCGCTTTTTAAGCAGCTTTAATTGTCTTCACTTTGAGTTTTCATTAGCTCTTACAAACTGAACGACAAAAAGACTTCCAGAAAGGTGATATATTTTTACTAGTTTTATATGTGATTCGCCTATTTTTTTATAAAGTTTATCGAGTTTTTCTTTGACAATGACCTGGTCCAGTCTGGTTGTTTTAAGTTGTGAAACTATCATAATGGTTAACAAAGTAATTTGGTATTATCAAATGAGTTCATGAGGTAAATTGGCCACCGTAAAGAGTTCCTTCGTCAGAGCGTCAGCCTTTCGCAATGACGAAGGGCCAACGCTCGAAACATCAGCGTTAAAACTCTGTACGGTGGCCAATTTACGTTATCAACTCAGTTGATGATACTAAATTACCCTAATATACTCTACCAACGACGTAGCACCACAGTTTCTTTAGAAACTTACCCCCTTTATGATTAACACACCTGGTGTAGGTTCTGCAAGTTCCCGCATATCCTCCTCCGATAATAACTGGGACATAAGATCATCACATGGACTTTTATGCTCAGAAACTGAAAGCTAAAAGAATGAATTGTGAATGACTGTCTCCCTCAAAGATAACACAACCACTCATCAAACAAGGACAACTATTCCTCACAGGGGGATGGGTGTTTCAGGCACTGATGTACTGATAGCCAAAATAAATAACAAAAATATCCTATTAATCCTTTAAACTCTATGAGTGACCAGCATCTAGTTTCTCCTGACAGTAATAATACTGAATCATTCATTAAAATCACGAGAATAAAGGTAATGATGGCCAATAAAAGAAGCTTTGATCATTAAACGAATTCTCCTCATCAGTGCCAAAAGAAATGTATGGAGAAGAGTAAGGAGAAGATGGATACTGATGTTATGGTGTGAAGTGTTAAAGTATACATCATCAGTAGCAGTTCACTGTATAGCAGTTATTCAGTTTCATAAGGAAAATCATCTTCTTGATTAAACAGATCTGCTTCACTCTACGTACCTCAATGACATTTTCGTCAGCACACAAAGGCTGTACTGGAATCCTTGGGGACTTTTCAGTAGTTAACTGAGATTCCTTGTTCTTTGCACCAAACCCTGTGGCAACACCAGCACGTCCTCTTCTTTTGCGTGAACTACCACTCCCTATGACAAATTATCAACCAGCGACAATTATCAAATATACATTTAAAATCTCATTTATCTAAAAGTTATGAGGAATAGAAGCATTAAGACTACTCAATTTAAATGCAATGCAAGGGCAAATGAATTTGACACCAGCACATTTAAACACACAAGCACATCTTTTACTTTGAATTTTAATTCGATAAAAGTTAATGCTTTCAAATTCATTTCAACTTAAAACATGAGTCAATGTTAACAGTGAGAAATGTTTAGAAATCTAAAGATCAGACATCAAAACTTAAACTACTGTTCACATTATTTTGCAAGCAGGCTCTCAAATTGTTTACCATGTAGACTTTGCCTTACAACACAGCCACCTATCAAACCATCAGCAGATTCTGATGGAAAAAGCTACTAAAAACCCCAAGTATGATAAAAAAAAAAAACCTGATCCACACCTGTCCCAGTCAATTTAACTGATGGAGCAATGTTCTCTTGTAATCCCCACCATCCAGTTTCCTTGTTAAACTCCTTCTGTCCTGACTTGAAATACTCAGGGCATCCTGAAGACAAAATGCCAGCAACTGTGCTATTCCAAGTGTTCTTCTTTTTTCTGACAAGGAAAAGATTTGTTACTCTTGAACCTTCCAACTTACAGTAGTCACTACACCTAAGACCCAGACTGGTGCCAAGACTGTAAGGGCTTAAACAGGGGCTTGTTTCTCCCTGGGAGCTGATTCCAAAAAGTTGTTGTTTGTTTGTTTTTGTTTTTTTTTTTTGCTAGACCTAACAGCATTCATATCAGGATATGAAAAAGACTGGTTTCTGTGCCATAATCCACACTACATGCACATGCATTCCACAGCCATCCTAGTTTAAGATCTAAGAAGGTGGGTGGAGGCATGTTAACCCTTTACACCCTAGCATCAGTGCACTTATTCTCCAAACTGTTCTCTAAGCATTTCATAAGGTGCTGAAAAGGAGAAGTTGTTTAACAATCAAGAGTGTCTTTTGGTTGTGATCATTTCCTTTATTCCTGTGTCTTTAATTTGTGATTGAGGGGTTATATTGTCAGGAGAAATTAGATGCTAGTCACTCTTAGGGATCAGAGGGTTAACTTACCAAGACTTTTGCAACACTGGCCCTGAGCCTTGACACTTCCAAGAGGTAATTGGTAAGTACTGAAAAGGGAAAGGTAGCCCTTTCTGACAGGGCTCAGTGGAAATTCCAGAGGGGGAAAGATCTCCATAAGCCAGAATTAGACAGGAATGAATGACAGTGAAGTGGGTTAATTTTTAAGGGGGGGAGGGAGGGAAAGTTGAAACCAAACCCCTTTGGGATAGAAGGGGGATTCTTTCCAAAAAAAGTGATTGGACTATGTCATCAGTGTTTTCCCTCTCAGGCAGTAACTTCTTAAATTCAGTTTGCCTGTAGTACCTCTCATAACCACCTAAAAACACTTTAAATTCTTCAAAATTCAACAGGTAAAAGGAGTGTTCTTAAGATACCAGTATGAAAAATTCATTTTACCTGTTGTGCTTAAAATAAGGGAGAACACTGTCTAATGATAATGTACAAAATGTACAAAGGTTGTGACTCACTTGTTGGGGAACAAAAGCTGCCAGTGTTTGTCAATGAAGTGGCAGATGTCTTCTCTCCATCTAAAGTAACCTTTTCTTCCTCTACTTGTAGAGTACAGATTGTACAACGTCAAGTACACAGCTTGCAGCCTTTTCATTAAAGAGATGGCAAAAGGTAATTCACAAGTCATGGCACCAAAAATCTTATTCTAAGACAAGAACAGAACTCATCCCTAACCAGACCTGAACACTTTGAATCCTAATTTAATGTAATTTGATTTGATCCTTGGATAGCTAAACACAAAACCACATGATAATTGTGTCATGGAGGCACATTGTAGTTAGACCAAGATTTCCTCTAGTCACACTTAAATCGGTTTGAACAAAATTACATGCAAATATACACAACTTTGCCAAATGAATATAGAGTAACTTGGAAGGAGAAATGTACTCTAATATTCTGATGCTTGATTGAAATTCATCTCTAGGAAGATGCTTTGTCCATTTTAGCCTGTTTTAGGCATTTAGTTAGTAAAATGGAGTGTGAGAGTGAAATTAAAAGGACAATATTCGTCATGGAGCTGAAATGTGGATTAATAAATTTGGGTAAGGTTGAAAAAAAGGGAAAGGTTTGGGCCAGGATTATGGATAATTATTCAACAACAGAAGAATGGGTTACCAGCTTAAATGTTGTCTGGTGCAAATCTCTGAGCCATCAGTAGAACAAGATGCACAGGTGAGATCAAAGAACACATCACCCACAAGTGTGCTGGGTTTTCCATTCTTTAGGCAATCTGAAAAGAAAAGTGAATTCAGTTATTATTCCAGTTATGTTAAGAATAAAATGCTTCAATGTGACTGGTTCTTAACAACCTTAATTTGTGGATGAATTTGCTGTTTCAGGTCCAGCCTGTCCAATTTCACCTGTTTTTCCTGTGCAGACCAACCTACACCAGTGAGTTTAATTATATCTGATACACTCTAATCCTCACCCAAATGAAACAGGCGTCGGCATAAAACACACTGCACCATATTGCTGAAAAGAGAGTAAGAAAGGACATGTTAAGTTTAAATACTGTATCCTCGATTTAAAAAAAAAAACATGGTCACAGTGCTCTTTCTTATTTTAAGCAAAAACGGGTAAAATACATTTTTAAACCAGTAGAGCAGTCATTTAATCTGTTGAATTTTCAAGAATTTCAATTCTGATTTTAGGTGGTTATAAGGTGAACTACGGGCTGTTAAGGAGAACACTATGGCCATTGACTACATGTAGATAATCAGATAAATATCCATTTCATTATTTTGTGATATGACTTGGCGTTATGTTTTAAAGTAATATTTAACATCTTGCTTCATCTAAACATCATGTTTGTCAGCAAGGAGCAACAATGGCACACTACTAACACAGCAGTATTATATACATAATCAAAGCTATAACAAAATAACTGGACATGATTGGCCATCACCAGCCTGATTTGAAAACTAATAGGACAGTGTATGCTTCATGCTTGAAATTGGACAGTGTAATAGGACAGTTAAAGGGACAGTTAACATGTCATGCCTGTGAAAGTGGACACAACTTGTCATGTGCAAGCACTGTTGTCTAGCATTTCGCTAAGTTAACCATTGTTTTTCTTTATGAAAATGTATAACTGACATCTAGTTTCTGTCTAAAATTTTGTCATAGTTTTGATTAATTGGCAACAGGACTTTGTGATTTCCAATTCTGTCTGTAATCACACTTGTGATTAACAAATCAAATTCCCACTTTGTAGTTGTCCGATTTTGTTAATGACTCACACAATTACAGATCAAATTAGACTCCACTTATTCCTGTCACCATTATTAAACATACTTATGATTAACTTATCACTGGGACAGACTTCTGCTTCGCATTTGTCCGATTTTGTTAATCACTCATGTGATTATAACCTGAATTGAACTCCACCCAGTCCAATTACCATTTATTAATTAATATAATGTATTTCAAGTCAAAATATACATCTAGCCATCAGCATTGGACATTTAGATTTTTCATGGTAAAATGCTGTAATTCCAAGGTAAAGAATAATCATAAGCTCCTCACCTGCCCTTTAAGCCATTACAATAACAAATCTCTTCTACTGCTTCATATTCAGTTTCAATTCCAGGATCAATAACCTACAAGCACACAAAACATTCAATACTAATCACAACAGAACTTAGAAATTACATGTCAAGATGCCAGCTCTAAAACAGTGTTAAGCTCTCCTCTTTCAAAAAAATATATTGTACTGACTCCTCTTTCACCCTTTACCTCCTTAGTGTGACTCTGTACAGTTTCACCCCTGAATCAAACATCAAAGTTATGAGAATAAAGAAAATGATCACCAACTAAAAGACACCAGTGTTGATAATCCTTAAACCCCAAAGAGTGACTGGCTTCTAATTTCTCTGTTCAGGAAATAGTAACTAGCTACAGATGCCCATGTTGTTAATTCTTTAACCCCCGAGAGTCATTGGCTCCCAATTTCTCCTCACAGTATCACCAGCTGATCCAATAATATATAGATCTATCCAAGCCTAAAAGTGGAGCTCTCATTTTTTTTTTCCCCACACGTCTCAAGGGCACAATGCCTTGCCCCAGCCAGGACTAGAACCCAGGTCATCCGACTCAGAGCCCAGTACACTGACCACTGGACTACTGGAAAAAACCATGGCGTTGGCGTGCCCACAGTACAGTTGACCACGCATGTTAAAAGTAGCACCTTGTACGGTTGTATGGTCTTACAACCAAATTTTTTCGGCTTGATGGGTTATTACTATTTTGTATAATTATGGGGCTTCGCTCTGCGAGCTCCGCTCTAAAGGCACTAAGAACGCTTTCAAAATTTGGTCTGTCTTGACTTCCTGTGATGTTCTTTTCTTAATGTACATTATTAACAAGTAATAACATGATTTCTCGAGCAACTTAGTGTAACAAGCCCTAGTAAATTTTTCCAAGACTATAAATTCACTTGTCTTACAGGCTCGTGCAATTATGTTGTCTTTGAAAAATTTAGTCGTGCTTATTTACACCAAATTGCACTCGAAATCATGTTATTACCTATACTTATTAAAAATAGTTGCAACTACAATGGTCGCTTTTGTTCTTGAATGAGATGTGATAGGGTATTCAGTAGCTTTGCTCTCCATATATATTACTTAAGCTTAAGTAAGAGGGCCTCGTGGAAAAAAACTCCACTTCACGACTGCAACGCGAGCTAAAAACTGACCAAAACATTAGAACTGAAAATTAAAAACGTTTCCCTTCAAAATTTAACAGTGGTGATCTTTTTAGGTAAAATACTGCCATGCAAGCAAAAGCCAAACTGGAAAAGAGTATTTAGGATGAAATGTCAAAGTTTCTATCCACAGCAAGAACAACACTCACCTCCTCGGCCATGTTTAAATCTCGTGCCCTTTGCATTCAGCGAACAACAGAAGGGATATAATATAGATAATTTCATTGGTGGGAAAAAAAAAACAATTACACCTACAAAAATATCCAATGAAATTAGCTGATATATCAAAAACCGAAAGCCTTAGGATCCAGGCCTTGGGAAGGAAGTGGGGTTCGGTTGCGGACTTGTCGAGAAGCGAAATAATTGAATTCTGCTTTCCTTAGCAATCAGATGACATGGTTTGACATTTTTGGCTGAAAACAAGCTTTTGGTGGGATAATCTGGTTACGGATCGGTGAAAGCATATAAATTGTCGTTGGTGAGTGTAATTTCATTTTCATCAGGTAGCTTAATTAATCATATGGATATTTCATACTCCGCTAAAATTTAAATTCAGTGTCTTTCGACTAGCTCAAGCCTTCGATTGTCTGAAAAGAATAAACAAAACCTTCTACCGTATTTATACAAATCTCTTATTGAGGGTCTACAAGGCATAAAGGTAATACAACTTCAGGAATTAAAACCAGCGGTAAAATCGCTTCGATTTACACGGGTTATCTCGAGTCATGCATAGGTGAAATAGCAATCGTCCTCGTAAGGAACCAATTTAAGTAACAGAAACCAAAATACGTAATTGTTTGCTATGTCCAGAGAATGGTTCACAAGACAAAGTATTCTTTAGTAGGATGATCATTATTGTTCTAGATTACTTAGTAAACATTTTAAACGTAAACTCACAGTCATTTTCCCGGAAATCAAACTCCTACTTCCTTCTCAAGAATGCTTAGAACAAATAGAGATTAATTTTTTATAACGTGGATATCACGCAAGGTATACACAGAGCAAAAAAAAAAAACAGAAACATGTAAACACGTGAAGTGAAGTATTTAAAACTACATTTAGTCATCAGTTTACCACTACCTTCTGTTATATTTAAGGTTTCACTTTTCAGCTTTCAGCAGGCTTCAGGCAATGTCATTACTCTGAAGCAGTATAGATTGAACAAACATTGCTGAAGAATGAACGCTGACTTGCACTTTACTGCAAAAAGGTGACAGAAGCCACCAAAACTGAGTCAGCTAACATTTAGATAGATGTTATCCTAGATTTGCTGATTGTGGCTACTTATGGGGATAGTCACAGTGTAAATGTATGCTTCAACCCTTTAGACCTCAACACTGATCAATGTGCAAGTTCTCCATACTGTCTTCTATACACCTCCTTTAGTACTAACAAGGATATTTGTCTGGCAATCAAGAGCTTCTTGAGTATGTGATCATTTCCTTTATTCCCATAACCTTAATGCTCAACTCAAGGGTAATGCTGCTGGCAGGAATAAGATGCTTATCTCCCTTAGGGGTTAAAGGGTTATATTCTCTAAGGTAAAAATTATGGGTTTTTCATGACAAGACCACAATAAACCCATGGAACTTTTCCTACATTATTTGCAGGATCTTTAAAGTAGGCAGATGAGAAAACCAACTCAGAAATGGCTGATCCACTGTTTCAGCACTGGTTTCATGGTCGTATAACTCGTATAGAAGCAGAAGAGATTCTGGCACGTAATGGCAAGAAAGATGGGTTATATCTGTTGCGTGAAAGTACTGCTTCAGCAGGAAGCTATGCTCTTTCCATGTGCCATAACAACAAGATTATTCATTATCATATTCAACGGCATTCTGATGGTACAGTTGCCATAGAAGATGGTAAGAAGTTCCCAGGACCTGTGGAACTAATACATCATCATCGCACTTGCCTGGATGGGCTTTTAGCAAGGCTGACTGAACCATGTAATAGGCTTCCAGGGGTACCACCAAAAACATACTCTGGTGCTAATCAGGAACACATCAAAGATGCGGCTATTGCTGCAATGGCATCAATGGGAATACAGGTTTGTTGGAACCAAGTACATACTTGTATGCACATTTCCAAAGTGAAGTCAACTAAAAATTTTTATTGTAAGAATTCCTTAAGGGTATATGTTGGCTTTAGGTATACTAGACCCAGTGATAAATTATTCATTTATTTAGAAAGATGCAATGTCTAGAATTACTTGATAAGTCAATGCATATAAGTATGCTTCTTAGTAAAAGTAAATTATTTGAATGTCTGAATGAGATTTTGACTGACTGACCAGCTGTTATTGAGTGGGTGGCTTACAGACTGACTGACTGACTTACTGAGTGGGTGGGTGACAGACTGACTGACTGGCTACAATGGAGTGGGTAGGTCATGCATTGAGTGGGTAGGTCATGCATTGACTGACCAGCTATCATTGAGTGGATGGGTGACAGACTGACTGACTGGCTATTATTGAGTGGGTGAGTGACGGACTGAATGACTGGCTTTAATGGTCAGTGGGTGGGTCACACATTGACTGACTGGCCGTTATTGAGTGGGTGGGTGGCAGAGGCTGACTGGTAAACTTACCAGCTGATTGAATGATGGACTGATTGACTGACTGACTGATTGAATGATGTACAGACTGATTTACTGACTCACTGACTTGATAACTGAGTGGGTGACTGACTGACTGATCAAAAAGCAAATGGATCGCAGCTGTTACAGTGTCTAACTAAATGACTAATACAAGCTGGGAGTAAGGGTTTCAGGTTATAAATGATTTTGTCATGGCTCTCTAGGATGGAGATGAAACCACTGCAACTTTGATGAGAGCTAAGTTGGAGAGTGCAATAGGTTCAGTTTTGCACAAAAATCAAATCTGGTTTCATGGAGTAATTTCACGTGAGGAAGCTGAAAGAAGGCTTGCTACATTAGGATGCCTAAATGGGATGTTCCTTATCCGTGAAAGGGATCCAGGATATGTGCTTGGTTTGTGTTACGAGGGCTCGGTAGTCCATTACTTGTTTGACATCGACCAGCAAGAAAGATTATCGATAAAATCAGGTCCAAAATTTGACAACCTGATGTTAGCTGTGGATCATTACTCTCAGCGAGAAGATGGTCTTCTCTGTAAGTTAAACGAGCCCTGTAGCATGGAACTTTTTGAAACTGGAAGAAGGATTTCCATGGGTGCGCGACCACCAAGTGTCTCTGATCAAGAACCAAGAATAGTTACTGGCAACAGACCACCTAGTAGATCATTCAACGACTCTTCTCCATTTGCAGGAAACCCGTTTCTTCAGGGTAGAACTACCAATGTCCCAGACCTTCTGCATGGAGGTTAGTTATTGAAATGCATAGACTGCTGGATTCACCTTCCAAATTTCTTTTATTTCCTTGTGAAATGCAGGGAGAATTAAGTTTGCATCAAAAGCCAGTTAACCCTCTATACCCTAACATTAGCATGCAGATTCTCCTTATTGTTCCATATACATTTCCTAAGGTGCTGATAAGAAGAATTTGTTCAACAATCAAGAGCTGCTTTAGTTGGTGATTGTTTCCTTTACTCTCCTGACCTTAAAATGTTCAATTCCAGGGTTATATTGTTAGGAGAAATTAGATGCTAGTGACTCTTAGGTTTCAAAGGGTTAAGGCTCTATTCTGTGCACACTCTCACTCCTGCAGTTTTATATGTTTTTTACAGTGGAGCTCTGTTAATGTGATTCTATGGGATCATTAATTAAAATTTTATGACAATCAGAGTACAGTAATTTGCAACTTGATTGCCACAGCCTTAAAAGGTGCTAAAATAAGACTAATGGACCTTTTGGATTTATGTTAAATCATCTTTCTCTTGAGTGAAATACAGACAGTTACTAAGAAGACAATAATTTTGTTTGGAAAATATCACATACAGTCAAACCTGTATTAAGCAGTCACCCAAGGGGAATGATGTGATGACTACTTAAAACAGATACCACAGATTAGGGGTTTTATGAAAAACAATATTAACAATGCCACTCCATACCATAATTGATCACTTATTGTGCTCAAAAATACTACTCACTTTGATTTTGGGAGAGAAACATGGATTAGGTATTACTTGAAAGATTATTATTAGTCTATTTGTCATAAGTGGTTCTGCTGTCAGTGATGGTTCAGTATACAGGTATGGTACAATAGAAACAGGCTGTTGGAACTCAGAAAAGGGTTACCATCTGTGCATCTGTTCTCTAATAGATCATAAGTAAGAACCATTCAAAATTGTTTAATTCAGTTGAAGACTCTGGGTTGAACAAGACATGGTTGAGTCATTGCGTTGTGTTCTTGGGCAAGATATTCTACTCCTGTAGAATCTCTCTCTGCCAAGGAAAATGGGGGAAGTTACAATACTCCTGATCACTTCTGGAAACCAGGTTAATCTCTGGCTGAACAAGTACTACTTGACTTTATAATTGTCATTCTTGACCCTTTTTTTCTACCTTGCCAGTTCCCAGATCTCCACCAAGGAACCCACCTCCTCCTCTTCCCAGTGTCCCTCCTCCAGAATCTAACAGAAATTCTGGCCCTCCACGACTGCCCCCCAGACCTTCCACAGCCTCACCTGTCAGCCCAAAAGGAAGAGGTGCACAACCCCCACCAAGCCCATTTTTTAAGGAGAGAAAATCGCCAGCTTCACCAACACCATCAGGTTAGTTGGAAATTGGCAGAAATTGTACTTTAACCCTTTAACTCCCATGAGTGACCAATAGAGAATTTCTCCTTACAGAGTTGATGCAATATGAAGTAGACAAGTGATGAGGATAAAGAAAAATAGCAACTAGGGGATAATTAATTGATCCAATACTAAATTCTCTGAACCAACATAATTATAAGAATTGTATGGTTGACTGTAAGGAGAATTACAAATTTGATCTGGGAATTAAAGGGTTTATTTTGAGGAATAAATTACAATATTTCAGAGCTGTTGATGTGCATGGAAAATGAAAAAAGTATATGTTACTTATTAATTAGAGCATTTTACACTCTTTTTCAAGGCAAAAAATTTTCAAGTCAAGTGTGATAAAGTAGTTCTCAAAAACCTTGTTAATAAATTCTGATTGTACCATTAACCCTCAATATCCCAACATCAGTATGTATATTCTCCATACTGTTCTCCATGCACTCTTCAG